ATGATAATAAACTCGTGTAGATATGATACTATTTTGGCTACATTTTAATCATGATAAAAGTTGTCAAAGATACTATAAATATATTAATAGTTGTTTTTCTATCTGTAAATGATAGTGCTTATATGTACAGAACAAACATATTCGAACACACATACCAGCTATGAAATTAAAAGACAATATATTATTATTACTCATTGTTAACATTTGAATATATAGCTGACGTTATTAAACAAAAAATTCGCCATTAACAATGGTTGTGCATTCGATATAATATTTTTAAAGAATCACAAGATTCACTAACCTTTTTCTACAGAAATAAAGAAAAATTTTTCCTTTCGCCACATATGCAGATGTATATATGTCCTTTAAAGGGAAAAAAAAGGACTACAGTGGACTCACAACATCCTCTCCTCTCCTCTCCCACACACAGACACACACACAAAAAAGAATAATATAGACCTAGACTCCTCATATTTTACTCATTTTTATATTTATTAACATTAGTCTTCATAGAAGCATAAGATTATATGTTTGCATTTTAATGCTTGCATAGCAACTATTTTGCGCCGTGCAACTTACAAAGTACTCTCTCTCTCTTGCAACCTTTTGAAGGCTTATGCTCAGTTTCCCACAACATATGAGATAATGTTTATGGTATTACTTTAATCATGAGTAGAGTGAACGATTTAAACAGAAACCCAAAGACACATAATAGTGGTAAATCTAATAAAACATAATAAGTCCAATCTATTACTCTTTTTGACTACATAATTAGTAAAAGACGGCATCCGCGTTCAGGAAAGATAAAAAATTAAATAGGTAATATTAATGAGTTTATATTTATATCTCTCTTATTTTTTATGGACCCCAAAAAAAGATTGTAAAAAGCTCATAAAAAAAAATCCAGACAAAAAACTGAAAACACACAGCACAGATTCAGCTAGTCCAGGGAAAGAGCTTCTTCTTTAGGTTCCGAGGAGAAGCACCATATAACGGTAATTCCAACAAACGAAGTAAAAAAAAATCGTAAATAAACGTAAAAGCACATACAAAAAGCTTTTTGAAAATAAGAATTCGTAGGAAACCGTACTCTCCGCCATGGCTTAACCCATTTATAGATGTAAGCACAAAAATCGGTATTTTTTATAACATTTGACCTTTCAACGATACACCAATTCCTTCTGAAGACTGTTTGGATTGCAATTGCCTCCAAGAATGCACTAATTAACTGAAGGAAATGGACAAAGGGAATCAATAACGAATTGTTGAAAACTACTATACGACAGACATATATTTTCCGAACAGCTATTATATTGAAATCGAGGTGGCTCTCAAAGTTATACGAGAAATTAGCTCAACATTTAGAAAAAGGTTATTAGTTTTACATTATTAATATTAGTTGTGTATAATCATAGATTCACGTGAGGATAGATGATGAGCCTGTATTTTTTGGTGTATTTTTTCAGCTAAATTCGACAAATTAATGTTTTTGTAACTCCCAGTTTATATGGAGAATAAAAAGGAAAGGTTACGAATGAAAGATCACCAGAAAAGGTTATAGAAAAAGCTTTCCTGGCGCTAATAATTTTTTCGATACAAACTAAGAGGACAGGTGTAAGTTGAAGGTGTAAAAAGAAAAGATTCTAAGCGAATACAAGATTGCTGTTTTCTTTCAAAAGAGTACACATGTGTTTTATTTGTCACAAGTAGAGATATACAATATATGTATATCCTTTCATTCGTTTGCGGTATGTCCCACTATGATAACCATTTCTTTCCTTCTTCCGGTGCTTTTTTATTTATCGTCTGCTGTGCGGATCGCCCCTCCCCGTGTGTCTCGACACTAGGCCCCCCTGTACGAGAAGAGGTGCTATTCGTAATGCCCGTTGTATGATGTTCTTCCTCCATGCGCTCCTGACGAAAACGAACATACTCCGCGTAAATCACGCGCTTGATATCATGAACTGTTTGATTATCCTCTTCCTCGAAGACAAAGGGCTTGCAGTTCACATGTTCGTCGGTTTCATCATAAAGTGAATTTAAAAACGGATGCCGCATACACTCAATAACGGTTAGCCGTTCTTTGGGATTGAAAACAAGGATTGATTTTAACAAATCTAACGCCTCACTAGATGCTTTGGGATATTTTTGCCGCCAGTCTATGGATTCTCGTTGGCTTTTTTTGCGGAGATATGCCCGCGCGGCTGAGGAGCCAATAAAACCTTCCGTTTCTACAGATGGCGTTCCGATCACTTCCACGATTTTATCTAGTTGATTAACACGATCTTTTCCTTGGAAAAGTGGCCGCGAACCGAGAAGTTCACCAAGAATGCACCCCACACCCCACACATCGATTTGCGCAGAGTAGTTTCCATCCTCCATCACCAACTCCGGTGCGCGATACCAACGCATCGTGACGTAATCCGTCATATATTCACCATGATCGCTTTCCTCCTTCGCAAGACCAAAATCGCAGATCTTGATATCGCAATTGGTGTTCACCAGAATATTTGCGGGTGTGATATCGCGGTGAATGACCCCAGAGCTGTGGATGATGTGGAGGGCACGGAGGGTTTGATAGATAAAAAATTGAATATGCGCCTCTGTAAGGACCTGACTGCTACGCAACACTTGTTTTAGGTCTGTATCCATTATATCCATAATAATATAGATGTGCTTGAAGTTCACAGGATCATTGGGTATGAGTATGTTACGTAATCCGATGATATTTTCATCCTTAAAAAATGCTAAGAGCTTAATTTCACGTAAAATGCGCTTGGAAAGGGTGGCTTCTTCGAAAATATCATCATTGACGCGCTTGATGGCTACCAGTTTGTTCCCGTCCTTGGTATCTCGAGCACGAATGACTATGCCATAGCTCCCGGCGCCAATTA